GGTACACTTCCTGTTGCTCACTTCCATCTTCTCTTCTCCGTCTCTTCTTAAACACCTCAACAGCACCACAAATCTTGGACCGAAACCTCATCACCTCGAAACTTCAATCCTCTCTTTCTTGGTTCTGTCCTATTGTCCGTCTTTACCTTGGTTCTCTTCCCTCAGCAAGATGACTTTCTCACGCACTCTCAAGGCCTTTACGGTCATATCTTCCCTGAACCCTTTCAATCTGCACCGCCTCGCCCCGAGCAACGCTGACCAGAACCTGGTTCTAGCTGACTGCGGCATTGGCTCTAACCCAGAGAACCTAACCTGGTCCACATCCCGCCAGATGAACTGGTATAAAGGTGCCATCTGGTCCACTCCAGCCGAGACCGACCCTGCTCCTCCTGACATGGTTGTCGAGATGCCCTACAATGACGGCAAATATCCCTGGAACTACGAGGGTGCCTCTGCAACATTTTCAAACGGCGATACCTGGTCTACCTGGATCGAAGACGGCACCCCAGAGCTCTTGCGTGCCGGGAAGGCCATGAGCACCAAGGACGGCGGTACCACCCTCTGGTGTTACACCTATCGCGGACGCCCTATCAGTATGAGCGCTTCCGGCAACTCTACCTGCATCTCAGCTTTCATCTGCAACCACCTTGAGAACGGTCCAACTCCTTGGGCCAGACTTCCTGGCGTCTGGGTTCCTACGGACAACGGAACCGGCTCAACAGGTGGTACCAACAAGCCCTCAGCTGAAGGAAGAACTCTTAGCGTCAAGGTCGAGGTCAGCCCTCGCCCTGCCATCTGGTACGGCACCATTGCCCATTTCCTGAGCAGCATCCTCTTCACCACAGACGGCTATTGCAGTCCTTACCCTTTCTCGAACCGTCTCAACTCGACCGTCACGGCCCATTGCCAAGGCACCAACGCTACTCCCCTCAACTTTCTGCCTGTCTTCTTCAACGCACTCAAGAACCTTGGTACCGTCCCAGGCTCTGATGGCTACTTCGTCTACAATCATGGGCCAGCCCCCTTCGCCAATGACACCTCTGACGACACCCTCACCCTACCGGCAACTTTCAATCTCACAGCATATGACATGGCTACTGGAGAGCTCAAGGGCTTCATTGGGTACGAGATACAGTGGCCGGAGCCCGGTATGGGAATCCACTGCAGCGAGTGCAACGCCACCAAATTCAACGACGAATACAACACCGCCATTGCCTCCGCTTTTGACGTACTTTACCCTGCGTACTCCGAGGTCGTCATCGAAAGCAACTGTACTTTTGCTACACTGTGTTGGTAACAATGTTGTTTGGAGCTTGTCCCTATGATATGACGATTTGTTGCTGTATCGATATGGATGGGATCGACTTTATGACGTGTATGGCTCAAGGTCGAGCTTGAAGTCTGCTTATCATAAGGTAAAAGTGAAGGGTTGGGAACAATGCGAGATACTGGGAGGAGCGGTTCATCAAACGGCCCTTCGGACGAGCAAACCTTATATCTCTTTTGGTGGCGACCTTATAATATTGTTTCAAAGGTCTCATGTATACCATAGACCTCAAATAAAGCATCATATCAAAATTTCCCCATTGAACTGTTAACGAAAGCGTTCGTTAGCTTGCTTTCATGGCGATGTTCCGGTGGTCTCCCCGCTCTACTCTCCCTGAGTTGCCGATGTATAAGGGCTGCATACCTTTCCACAAGTTCCGGGCCTCGACCTTTTTGACATCACAATCTCATCGATCCCAAGACGACCATCCCGGTGATATCACCTCCGTTCAAACATATTCAAAACACATCTTATCCCCACGGACATCCATTGTGTCCCTTATGGTGATATTCTCAGCCAACCCAGGCATCCACAAAATATGGTCCAGCGTCGTGACGTTGCTGCCTCCATCCCCAAAGTACGGGAGGAACATGTCCTCGGGCAGGATCTTTGGCTGCGCGTCGAGAAAGATCTGGTTCGCCGCGACGTTGGGGCCGCCCATCGCGTAGAGCCTGCCGGGAGAGGAAGTCTGCCACTCCCACCAGAGGCGGTCGAAGTTCGTATGGTGGAGGTAGAAGATTGGGTCAGCGGGTGAGCGGGCGTGGTCGCGCATCTGTGATGTTAATCAGCATTGGATTCGATGACTTTTTTTGCCGAGAAGAGTCCTTTCATTCTGCTCGATGCTGGGAGAGCAGGAGATGGACCAATGGAAAAGAGAAAACTCACGATGCCACCGACGCCCAAGTGCCCACCACTATGCGGTGTATTCCCAAGACACCCCAACATCTCCCCGTAATCATCACCCTTTTCAAGCGCCATGCAGGGCTCTACGACGTTCGCTTGGGAAACGGTATCGAACGCCGTCTGGTTTAGGGCGCGTGTGAGACAAACGCCGCCTCCTCCTGTCTCGTCTCGTTCAAGTTGCGTGTTGAAGCGGACGCGGTAGTCCGTGAAGGCGCCGTCGAGGATGCAGTTTGTGGATGCGTCGGTCCGACCTGTGCCGAAGGCTTTGACTGTGGATGCGGTGTCCCAGACGGAAGCGTTTTGGATGAGGTAGAGGGACTGATCTGTTTGTTGGTCCCAGTAGCTGGAGGAGGTGTGAGTTGGGTGCTGAATTCCTGCGGAGAGAGAACCAGGGAGGAGGGCAGACGTACGGGTATGGACCTGTGTAGCCGCATTCGTTACGGAGGAGGTCTTCGTGGATCTTGGTGTACCATCTATGCCAGGGGAACAAGGCGCCCTTTTCGGTTACTCGGTCTGATTAGCCTCATTGAATAACAATATTCAAGCACACACTTCTCAAGACGGAAGTCAAACAGTTCGACGGCATGTATCCAGACACTTGTTGTGTTTGCACGTACCACTGTGTGGATATACCGAACCTGCGCAATATGCGCGACAACCAACTCCTCCCAACGGCTCGTCGCGCCCCAGCTTCCGACTTTGGCTGGCGCTTGCGACGGGTCCATTAGACAGAGCGTCGAGTTTATGTAGCTTGCCTTTTCGTCTTCCGTCAGGGCGGTCCATGGTTTGCGGACCGAGGGGTTGGTGCAGGTTGCGGACGTGGCCGTCGTTGCTGCGAGGAGGGCAGCTAGAGCGAGGAGTATCCTCGCCATGGTTCCGGTATCACGCGAGGAGATATCCTGCGGAATTGGGGGCGTGAGAAGAACGAGGGGTGTCGTGTGATGCCTTCGCGGGATGAGAGTTGGGGATGGGCGTTGCAGAAACGAATGGAATGTCGCCCTTGTGTAGTGGACGAACGGCTGGTAGAATCTGGCAGAGACAGCCAGTAAGTTTGCCAACAGCCACTTGAGGCCATCGTCGACTTGCGCTTCACCTTTTTCTTAAATAAGAGAAACCGTTTGCGAGCAGGACTCAGAAGATCCTGCGCTAGAGGGTCTTCTTCTTCGTGCCTAAATCGTCCATTTTTGTGTAGAGCCCCGTGTCTTGGCGATTTAAGATAGAGATCAGATGGTCCGATATCTTCATGTTGACTTTCTTGGTCCACGATTTTACCCTGAGATTCTAACAATGCCTCTAGAAAATATAGTGTATAATGCTTGGCGAGTATGCATAGAACCAGCCCGTTCCCTGTAAATGACCACGTAAAGTTGCCCTTTTGGACTTCTTCGGGCCTCCCATCCCGGACTTGTCCCATTACGGCCCCGCTTCAACTGACGTCTTGAGAATTGAGTTTACGACCCAGGGATTCATGTTGATTAAGGAAATCATGATCCGGTGGTGCACCAAAACTCCGCAAGAAGCCTTGTGACGTCTATTTCAGTTCAAGGAGCATACTATGCCAAGCGAAAAGACGGTTAGGTGAAGATATCGAAGCCCAACTACGTCTTCTGAGGAGTTGCCTCACGAATAGCTTACGTACCTAGGAAACGACATCCATCCAGCATGCCGACTTTCCCGGTTAACCGAGGAAGCAAGCTTGAGACTTGGGACCGAAAGGACCCAAAACCTTATCCGCAAGCTCGGGTTTGGCTTGTTCGAAATGGCAAGTAAAGCCGGCCCTTTAAAATTAAGGTATGTTGATATATCCTTGGCACCAACAGAGAGTGCATCTTTTACCGGGAAAGCCGCCGCGCCCTGTTCCGGATAACCCGGCATCGCAGTACGGGGGAGGAAGAGGGTGCCGAAGGGAGCGGGACGTGAACGAAATCCTGGCGCAGTATCCTTGATTCAGATGATATCAAAAGACATTTGCTGAATTGTCCTGAGAAGGACGTTATTTCCCTAGCTTGATGTCTCAGTTTGGACCTTTCTAGGGGAATTATTTTGGTGGAGGGGTTGCGCCGTTGAAAGTCTTTTCTCCAACCTCCACTTACCGGTCCACATCGGAACGAACCTCTCCTGGTAAACAATCTTCTCAGGAGAAGAGGACGTGCTCGCTGGTCATGCGGTTTTCGGCTGAAGAGACAAAGAACGGGGAAAAGTGCAGTATCGCGAAGCATACAAGAGGCGGCGCCGGGGCGCGCCTTTCGAACTATGTCGCGTGGCAAACGCAGAAGTTACCTGACATCAGAAAATAAACCTGCGTTGGGTTGGTGCGAATTACCTTGAGTAAGGGGGAACACGATAGAAACACTGTTCGTACGATGACACAATCAGCAACTGAAGATGAGTCGAAAGCTGTCAACTACAGCAAGTGAGCGGAATGGGTATACGCGAGATGAATTACGAATCGAGGCTTCTATTTGGGTATTTTACCCCGATTTCTGTCTGTCCAAAGGGAAGCGTCTTTTCGCTCCTAATGCCAATTTCTGTGAAATAAAACTCCGTCGACACCTTGCGACAGATACTCGGGCGTTCTACCCAGATCCTTTCGTACGCACAGGTGATCATGCAAACTCTTCTCTATCTTCTCCTTCTCTAGGTCGCTTTTCTCGCTTCGCTGATTACAAATATCGCATTATGAAAAGAGTGTAGGTGTCCCGAGCCTGAGTGCAAGGGAAAGGACTTCTGTTCTGCTGGGAAAAAGAGATCTCATCGTCTGTCGTTTGATCTAAACAATGTCGCCGGTCTTGGCTCTGCTGGAACTCCGCGGTCGGCCAAAGAAGCGTCGGCGCTGAGATCCAGAGTCGTGACTAGCTCTTGAAGCCGCGGCGCCTGACGTCGCGCTTTCTGGGCGTTCGAGGTCGGTTCGTTCGCGGATGCTCTGGAGGCGAGCGACGTGCGGCTGGTGGACCTCTCTGCGAGCCTCAAACACGTCCTGGAAATCGCTCCAGTTGTTGTCAATGAAAGGCGTCATACCAGTGCGGGAATCGGCGCGAGCGCGAGTGGCCACCGCAGTCCCCGCTGTAGTAGGCTGAGTAGTAGAGTGAATGGAGTGAGAGTCGCCTCCAGGCGTCGCAGGCTCGATGCCACTGGGACCACCGTTCTTGGAAGAGTCGTACGAAGGAGGGGCGCCGCCTGCCCAGTAAAAGGGTGTGTTGCGGGAACCACCAGGTTGCACCTGCCAAGGGCCCTGGAGACCAACAGCACGAACCTCGGCCATAAGCTGGGCGGCAAACTTGTTGTGTCTTTGCAGACGGAGCAGTTCGTTCTGGAAGTTGGACTTGTGGAAGAAGATCAAGTTCATGGTGAAAGATTGAACCTCATTAAGAGTGCGGACTTCAGTAATAATGCGAGGCTGGTAGTCGCGCTTGTGTTCGAGGCAGAAGTTGAGCATGCGAGACTTGAGCTCCTCGATGAGCTCCGGATCGGTGCCGAAACCAAGCTTGAGCTCGATAGGATCGGCCAGACCGGCAGAACGGCGCTGGTTGAGGATGAAAAGGGTGTTCAGCACACTGTTGGGTGCCTGTACAATGTGACCCTCCATCTTCTTGAACTCGGTGTACAGCAGGGAAATTTCCGTAACGTAGTAATCGTCGCCAGTTCCGGTGGTACCAGTGTTGCCGTAGACAGTGACGCGGTCACCGACATCGAATGGGTGCTTGACGAATACGAAGATGATGGACTGCAGGAACTCTTGGGCGCTGGCCTGGAGCAGCCATGCGAGACCGAGGAAACTGGATCCGGCAGAAGCGAGACCGGCAGCGGCAGAGCCTGAGAGAATGGAAATGAAGACGATGATGGCGATAATGACAATGATGACGAGGAAGACCTTATCGAGCTTTTTGATGACGGAATCGAGATCCTTCAACGAGGCAGCGATGGCCTTGCGCTCAAGATGAATTTCGTTGCAAGTGAGTTCCATCTCTTCCATAGAGATATCACCATTGAGATCCTTGTCGAAAATGCTAAAGGCGTGTTCGGCCTCTTCACTGGTCTTGAAGGCGGACTGCATGTCTTCAAGGTAGATGGTCTCTTGACCGTCCTTGGCGAGACTCCGGAAGATGAGGCGGGCAAGAGAATGAGCAGAACCCGTGTTACGCAACATCTCGTATGTGATCTTGCGGGCATGGTTGAAAGCGACCTTTCGTCCCATGAAGTCGTTTCCAACACGAGCCGCAACGCCACCGGCCTTGTTGAAGGCAGTGCGAACATTCTTTCCGACGACACCCATTGGGGTACGGGCGCCTGACCTGTTGCCGTTCTCGGTTGTGAGCCATATAGAGTCCTCGCGATTGATTCGCATCTTGGAGTGCTCGTAAAGGTGGACCAAATGGTCGATATCGCTCTTGTTCGTCTCGATTCGTTGGACGTAGGTGCGCTGATGGAAAGATGTGGCAATCCATTGGATGCAGATCTTCTCCACCCAATTGAGAGCAGCCAGGACCAAGAAAGCGATAATGACCTTCTGGACGATATCGACCCATTTGAGATCCGGCTTGGTGTCGGTGTCCGGGTTGAACCCGTCGGGAAGAACGCGGTGGTCTTCGAGTATGGGCGAGTAAGAGCAAAGAATGGCGAGCATCCACATGAAGAGGGCAGTGTGCAGCTCCAGACCCTGGCCGATATCCCTCCACTTCTTATGGTTCGAAGAGCCCATGACAATGGCAATACCGCCAAAGGTGAGGGGCATAAAGCTGGTAACCATACGCGTAGCCCACAATGAGCACCAGACAACCTCGAGCCAGATTCCGAACCAAGTGAGATAAACGCCGTAGGCACCACCAACGGTAGCGCTTTCGGCGTCCACGGCGAAGTGACCGATGAGAACCGGAATGAGAAGAAGCGCGGCACCGGGAATCAGATAGACAAAGTATCGGAAAACACGTGGGAACTTCCTCAGCCACTTCCACAATGCGAAGGCGAAGGCACCGGCCTTCTTCTCAGGCGGCGGCTTAGCGGCATCGGCAGGGTTTGGACCGTTGGTAGCGAAGACATCCTCGGGCTCCATCTCGCGGGTCCTACCCTGGCGAGAACGCTGCTGGGACATTTCATGTTCTTGGTTGGAGATGAGGCGCTCGGCGCGCAACAACTCCAAATCGTCATTGAGGCGTGAGGCTTGTTCTCGTGAGTCTTGCGGTGACATTGGTCCGCCATGCGTCTCTTGGGGAATATGAAGGTGGTTGTCGGTGTTTAATCTCGTCAACTTTTCGGGGTGAGTTGGTTGAGAATTGGGATCAGTTGCGGTTTGGAGACTATCGTCCGTATGCTGAGAATGCTTCTCATTTTCGTCTGAATTGGCGCGATCGCGATTATTTGTTGGCGTCGTCATGGTGGGCGGGATGAAGAGGCCGCGAGGGGCCGTCGGTTGAGTTGGGCAAGATTATGTGGTGTAAGTGGAATATGTGTGTCCAAGGTAAAACGTTGTGGTCGTTTGGATTTCCGAGGGATCAAGAAGTCCTCCCTTTTGCTTTGTGTAGGTAAAGGCGAATAGGCCCGATAAATGCCGTCAGAGGCAAAAGAATGCCAGCAAGATGATGTAAATTCGCGATTGGCGTTTGCGGTCGGGTCGTTTCGCTCTTTTTCTCGGTGAGGGAGAATTGCCGCCGGTTGGCGGTGACAAAGGCGCAAGTACTCCGCGGTGTGTGTTCCGGGGTGGGTAGCTATGACCACCGGCAGGAACTGCGACGAGGATGGGCAGGAGAGAGGAGGACGGTAGACTCTTCAGTCAAGAAGACTCCAGTCGAAAATTGGTACCTTCCTGTTTCTCCGTGGGTGAAATGTACCTGGAGAGCCGGTAAAGCTGGGGAAAGAAATGGGAGGGAAAGAGCTGGGGATGGAGCTCACGTTGAAAGGTCGAGGGGAGGAGGGTTGGATGAAATATTTCTTGGGAGGTGCACCTTCCCGTCTTTTGTCGATGGGAAAGCTTAGGTTCGATGGAAGTCACCAAGTATCCCCGTACCTCTTCAGATTCAGATGGAGACCTTGGGAATAAGTGAACAGGGAAGGAGCAAGGGGGCCAAGACCGAAAAGGCAATCAGCAGAAATGGCAGGCACGAGCACTTCCATGTGCTTGCAGTTGTTAATCAGCAAGCGGTCGCGCAGTCTGGACTCTTTTTCTTCACGCTCCTGGTGACATTGGATGGGAGCTTTGGCAGGCAATGGCAGCAAAGATATGGGTACTGCTTCAGTCCCCGACACTCCGATTCCCCGGTCTCTCTCGGTCATTTTATAGAAACAGGGACTTGTAGAGTAAAACTGGACCTCTGTTTCCTCTCTGGCATTGGAGGGCGCGAGGGGCCCCCGGGGGTGGTGTTTGAGCTCAATGAAATATAGAGGGACGGGGTGGGAACCAAGAATTTGACCACAGTGACGGTTCCAAGAATTGGCTCCAGAATTCTATCTGCACGTCCGAGCCTTGTTCACGTTGACCAGTGGTGGCGCTTGTGAATCGCTGCTTCGACCCGCGGCGCCACGTCGGTGCCCAGAGAAAAAGAATGGGGGCGACGCGCGATGATCTTGCTTGGGGGGCTTGCTCGTCATTAACATTTAAAAATTGGGTCTCCATTTTTAGCTGGGCGTGGGCCTTTGGACCTGGATGTTGGGGCCATCAATCTGGCCCATCTGGCTTTGGCAATGGCAATGGCATTTCTTGGTGGTTGAATCTCTTCCCCTTGGTGTTTGCTGCTCAAAGCATATACTGGAACTGTAGGTAACTTGTAGAAATCCTCAATTTGAGAACTAAGGTAAGTGAAAAAGTACCTTGAATACGTACTTTACGATAGCTGAAGCAGGAGCTGTACATGTTTTTGAGTGACATTTTCTCGGAGTGGGAGCTTGGGCAAGCTGCACCCGCGGAGGGTGGCAGTGGCAGCGAATGCGACAGCGATATGCCGGCTGGCACTGGGCTCAAAACCGGGTCCGTGCTATCTGACAGGAGAGCCGCTGCAGGGAACATTCAATTCGTGAACCTGGAAACCTTGGAATCTCGAGCGCCTCCTTCACTGGGATGTAGCTGTTTTCCACGGGTAGGAAGCTTTCGTTCCTTCCCCCCTCCCTTTTTTTCTTGTTCTTCTCTGTGTGGTGGTGAGGACGGATGTTGCTAGTTTCCAAGGACTGAGAAAGGGTCCTTCTGTCTTCTAGAGTCCAGGGGTCCAGAGATTGAAGTTGTTCCCCCGGAGCTTTGAATTGCCTTCCTGCCTTCTCAACGACCACACCCACTCGCTTCCTGCCGTATCGTGCTAGGTATTATAGACGGAAGGCACAAAGGGGGAAGGGAGGGACCCTGAATATCCTCTCCGTCAAGTTGATTACCTTACTCGGGAGCACCGCAATGGGCGATAAGGCCATGGCTGGTTTTCTCGCTGTAACATTGCAATTAACTTTGAATTGCAGAGCCCCGTTGCCTTTTCACTTCGCTCTCGACCGAAACTTTGTGTTTTGCAGCACGGCAACTACTGCACTGCACTGCACTGCATTGTAAAGTGGTCACTGTTGTGCACTGCAAGCTGCGGATAGTCAGCATCACTCATTGATCGATTTGTCGCACTACCAAGGTCTTTCTTGGCTTTCCTCAGTTCACATCACGCCCCTTGCGCCGAATATTCATCTTCGGTCCGCGGCAGCTCTAAACTGAATGGCGGCTAGCGTCTTCGTCGTCGTCGTTTACACATTGTCCTCATCGTCATATGCCCCATAGACATCCATCACCGCACATGCGCGCATGGAGAAGATGATGCGAATCCGATTCCCTATTGAGATGTGCCTGCCACACATGATCGGAACCCCATACCAACAATGGGTCACTTTCGAGCTTCACATTGTCTCCGACTCTCCGTTCGAATGGCAGATGACTGGTACTGGGGAGAATCCGGAGACTACAGCTGCGCATCCATATGGTCTAATGGGACACAATGAACTGGGAGACCCCCACTGGGTCGAACCCACGATCGCCCGTCATCGCGATCCTTTTGGTGCCTTTCCACTGCGATATTGCCTGTCCATCCGCACGCCGCATCCCTGGCCCGAGTGGTGGCCGTCGTCTGAGACACCGAGACGCAGTCGCATAGTGAGGCTCTCCGCTGCGTCGCAACGAACCGACGCCACCAACCGACTGAACCGTCTCGCCCGATCCCGCGAACAGACGGTCGCAGATCACACACGCTGCCGCCCGAATCGCCATGTCATGCCGGCATACGTATACGCCAGGGGAGGGGCATGAAGACGGGCGGCCGGGTAAACCACCAGCACATAAGCACATGGCCGTTACTTTCGGCGCACGGCATCCTTTGCTGCACTTTACTGTCGTGCGAATACTACCAAGTGCCTTAAGTAAGGTGTTTAGCAGCATCAAGTTTGCAAGCCACCCTCAACAGAAATAGTGTCCGATGACTGTAGTGCGTGCCTGTCGCCAATGCCCAATCTACTGTGGAAAGGGCCGAAGAGACCAGAGACCATTGTGTCACCAGCGCCAGCACCAACCAGTGACGACAGATGCTCTCAGCACCTTCTCTTAGGCTCTTAGCACACCTGTCCTCCCTCGAGGTTATGCAAGATACTTGGCACTAACTAGGACGACGGTGACTTACAGAAGCCCGAAGCGCGGGAGAACAACTGCCAATGGTAGAAAAGAGACTAAGGCCGGGCCAAACTGGTATCGATACGAGGGACTACCGCAAATCCATTCCACGAGCGGAAACCATGGCAGAACCGGTGTGTCTTAGCGGCAGTACACCCTCTGGATACTCTTGAAGTTTGCCCTGATCTGATTTTGCCGTCCTTGTCTGGCAATCCTGCATGTGTCTGCAGCGGCTAATCAGCGGATGGCTCATTCGATCTTTTGATGCAAAAAAGTGGCCGTCACCCGCCCTTGTCACATCAACACGCATGCAAATCAATCAACCAACCAATCCACCTCGGATTCCGGACTGCATGATTCGCCTGCCAATGGAAGGGTTCTCTGTGCCTCAGGTCATTCAGCTAGGTGGGCCGTAAAGGACGACTCCTTAGGCTCCTTCCTCCTGATCTCGAACTTACAGTGTCGGTCCCTTCCTCGCGTCGGGTCACCTCCAACAAAACACGCACCTTCCTTCTCATTCAAATTGCGGTTTGTGCCTATGGACCGACGGTCGGGTGCAGGTGCGACATGCGTGGGTGCTCTTTCCTCTTGCTACGGTGGACCCCCACTCTCATGGTCTCCCAACATGGCCCCACCCGCCACGGCTGACGTCACACGGCGTCTTTCCTGGACCTTCCATGTTCCGCCTTCGACGACGGCAAAACGGGTCCTCCTCACCCGTTTTTTCCCCTGCCAAGACTCCAAGACCCGGCCGCTGAGCCCCTAACCCTCAGCTCGGCCCACCGTCCCCCGAGTCTTTCGAGGCTCACTGTTTCCAACGCTCGATGCCGTCACTGTCCGACGTCGCTGGATTTGGCCCACGACTAACAGTCTGCCGAACCTTCAGACACGAAGCCCAACCTCGTTCACCTCCAATTGTCCATGGTATCGCTGCATCCATGATAACCCCCCTCGTCTGCAATGTCCCGGACTCCAGAACGTCCAGAAGAGTTTTCAGAATTTCTGCTCTCTCCCCGGATCGTTGAGTTGGTCTGGACTCTCGACTCCAAACTGAGCTCTCAAAGCTCCGCAGGGTCATCTTGTCAAGCTTTCTACAGGCTATGGAGTACTCCGTACACTCCAGTCAGCAGGTGAAAGTCAGTCAGTCGGGCTCATTGACGATACCACAGAGTCATGGATCACTCGCAGATGGGACAAGAGAGAGATGACTGCAGCCACAGCAGAACATCAGACAATTGCAAGGGTAGCTCACCAACCACTCAGACTCCAGGACACCAATATCGCTGGCCGCAATTCACAGGCTGCCGTCGGACCTTGAGCCGTTTCACCACTGACCAGACTCGTTTACCCGTACTGACACCACAGGCTACGAAGACCTTACAGTCTCACAGTCTCACCACCACGATTTGACGCGTTGAGACATGCCTTATCTCGCCTCAACACCATCACGGCGATAACGCCTTTTAGCGTCCTTGGAATTCCGACCCTCCTGAAAATCTCTCTTTTCCCACGTCTCTAGCTGCCTTAGTGTCAGAAGGGTTCCGACGCAGTGCGACACACAGCACACAACACACCAACCCGAAATGATCACCATGTCACTCTCCGGCTTGCCCTCTTGAGACTTCCGCCTGTCCGTTTTCTCTCAAGCTTGCCCTGAAGCCGATTGCCACCACCGCCATTGCCCATTCCAGTGGTAGCGGACGGTACATCGCTCGCCGCTGAAAGAGTGCTGAATGCAGGTACCACGCACTCTA